GGATAAACTGGGGCTGATCCCACTGCGCCAAGGCTGGTAGCATAGATGTCTCTGAGCCCGGCGTACATGTGGCATTCGGCATTAGGAATAAAGCTACAAATACAACATTGTGAAGAGGATTTCCCTGTTGTTAAAATCTGCTCCTCTGCGGTGCCGTTCTCAATGTGACCAGTAACCATGTACCTTTTAAGCTATTTTCAACTCTGTAGCATCTAGCATATCGGCACAGCTGGGAGATGTCCTAAACACCTTAATGCAATCTGGGCAGCCAAAGTCCAAAGGAAAATCCGGGTGATCCGGACACACCCATTACTTTCTTCAGCTGCTTTGAAAAATCACTGCAAGCAACACTGCAAATGAAAAGCACTGAGTAATGGGGTATTCCGCAAGAAAAAAAAACCAACAAAACCCTATTCAGACCATTCCAGCTCCAAAAGAAGAGCCATCAAATTTTTCAGCCAGTGATTGTAAAAATGAAGACTCTCGCCGCTGCTACGGCCGAGCGGATGATGTGAGCTGCACAGTTCATTACTGCTGCGATAGCACCCCCGTGAGCCAGGCCTCGCTGCGCAAGTGCTACATCAGGATCTGTTAACGTGCTGGAGATGTACATCTGGGAACTTCTCACAGATAGATTTTGCCTTTGCTGTCGCTTGTACATCTCCATCGCTGCTAGCTAAGGGGGCAGACTCCCATCTCACTGAGCTTTCTGATCTGGACCACCACCAAATTACAGCTCTTCCATCTCCTCCAGCCACAGTCACTGCACTGCTACGTCCCTCACCGCAGAGGACGCAGAAATAAATCTATCTTTGTGCAAGCTTCTGCCCCTTACCTTAAAGCAGCTGCACTGTCGTCCCAGCTGTTTTGACAGATTTGCTATGTTGCTATGAAAAGCAGAGAAAAATGTCAGCCAAATAGAAAGGTGGACAGATCTCTTTTTAGTTATTATTTTCCACAAAGTTTTGGAGTCCATTTCTTTCAAACACAAACCACAGGAAGAATAGAGAAGTTAAAACAATTCTGTACCGGGCAGCTTATTGCATGGCACAGCACCAGTTCAAAACAAGCTCTTTTGCTGTTGTTCATCAGACACTAAAGCTAACCTGTTTTACGCAGCACTATCAAAACCTGAAAGCTATAAATATCATTAAGTAAATTATATCCCGATACTACACACTAGTAGTTTTACACTAGTCTACAGTGAGTCTGCATGAACAGCCCCATGCAGACCATGTGGTCGTGCACAGCTTTATTTGTGCAAGAGATGGACCTGACCCCTCTCTGTACCATGAAAACTTGCTTTGATGTGTCCTCTACAGCCTACACCGTTGGAGCGTGCCCTAAAAGCGAGGGAGGTTTCTGCTGCAAGAGACAGCAGCGTAAGAGGCAGAAAGAGGACTGCTATGCAAAGAGCATCTTCTCTGCACCATGTGAAGCAGCCTTTGCAGGCACAGAACTCTACCTTTTAGATTAGGCGATTATACTGTTATACGACTAGTTTAGATATCCTGCCTCCCCATCTAACACTCTGCTTTAAATCACATTGATTTTAAAAATAAGAAAAGACATAAACCCCAACAGCAGGCACAAACATTGCTGGCCTCCTAAAGAGCTCTTGCTCCCCCATGGCTCCATGCTCTCCTGCCCCAGGCTCTTTGTTTGAGAAGAGTTTTTCACACGTCATGGAAAAATAATTCCATCGATGACAATGACTGCATTTTTCAACAGACCCCTGTGCAGGAATACCCCTATCTTGAAGGTTCACCTGTTTTGTCTCTGAATGGACTCTGTTTGCCTGCCGTGACTACGAAAGGCCAGCAAGGAGCAGGGTCAGCACTCCCCTTTTCCTTCCTCAGCAGATGAGCAGTAAGATGCACAATGCAAGGATTAATCCATACGAGAAGCTTTGTAGGGCAGCACTCACTATTCCTCTTGGACAGACTGAAGGTAAATCTCGTTTTTCCTCCCACACTGGGTATGTACCAGCTTTCGGGTTTTAAAAACTTTCTTCAGCGCAGCCAGCAAAGGCAAACCATATGATGAAGTGACTCTTCCAGCAAAGTACAACCAGCTCTGCAACAGACACTGCTATTTAGCAGCATTCAGCAATTCAACAACATTATTTAAGGCAAAGAGCACGTTATACCTATCAGCTCTCAATCTCTAACCTGAGAGCATTAAAATAAGCTAAAATGTGTTAAATACTGGCCCTACTATACAGGCAAACAATCCATAATCATGAGAGGTATAGTCTAGAACACAAATAACAGCAGAATTCATCCCAAACATCAGATACTTGAGGAGCCACTTGCTTCACAATCTCTAAGATGCCACAGCGGTTTTCTACCTTCAGTCAAAGTGTGGGGCAGGGAAGAGAAAGAATAGGACAGGATTAAATTTAAATCTCCTAAATTGAGCCAAGGACAGAATTATCCATGATGGAACTTGGCTAAGACAGACAATACTCTCTGCTGCTGTCTTTCATAATCATCTCACTTCTTTCTTCCGTCAAAAATAGTATTAGAAAAAAAAAAGGAGGGAGGCGGCCTATTTTTCTTTTCAAGATGAAAATATTTTCTGTTAGGTTCTCTAGAAGTGAATTGACATGATTTTTTGGCTGGAACATGCAGCTACATACCAACCACACAGCAGAGATGCAGGACGCTGGCAACTGCAATCCCAGAATCGAGGCTTTCATTCTAAGTGCTTGTGTGTAGAGCTTCTTGTGCCACAACACCTCACACTCCCATGTCTCCACGTCTGTACATCTATCTCCAGCTTCAAATGCCAAAACCATGGTGATAAGGAGTCACTTTTGCCTAAAAGAACACCTGTATGTTTTGTGCTGTTTCACATGGAAACATGTCATTAGTTCTCCTATAACTATTTTTTTCAGTGAAATGACCTAACTACAGAGCCCATTTAGCTGAACTGCGCCTTTACACCACCTCCTGAAGCTACACCTTCACTTGTGAGGAGGGTATCAGAAAACAATAGTCTATGTAAATCTATTTTAAAATAGAGTAAAATTATTGTATTTTGGTTTTCTTTCCGCACAGTATTTGTCTGCTATAGGTAACTTACAACTTTAGTACCAAGATTAGAAATACTCTTTCATGGTTTGCTTTGATAAATTATGCTTTTTTAATCTCAAAGATACGCACATATGCCTTTGAAGCAAGCCTGAAATAATTTTAGTAATTCTAACAGAAATGTCATCATTTGTTCAAGCTACATCAGAGAAAACTTAGGCAGAGGCACCACCTGTACGATGAACCTTTGCCTGCTGATTGAACAAACGACTGAACAATTCCTCAGCCATGTCTAGCTTGGCTCAGCCACATGAGGTTAAGTAGTCTTTCAGTGATTTCTGTCTAAATCAATACTGTAGAATGCAGGAGAAAAATAGTTTTAAATACCATAGGTCTATCAGTAAAAGGAGACTGAAGATGCGCCTGGCTCCAATCCCCTTTTTTTCATCCCTTTATGAAACTGTTTCATTATAACAACTGGTCAGCAGAGCAGAATAGAGAGTTCAGTGCAAAATTGCTATTCCAGATTTAACAGGAACAAAGCCACAGCCAAGGCCAGCATGCCTCTCCATATGGTTGTTCTGTATTCAGCTTTTTTGCAGAAATGAGATACTTCCTTACTCCTTTGAAACCACTGGCTGGTAGGCAAGTATTTCTTAGCTTACTTTCTTCTTACAAGTAAAGCAACCAGAAAAAAACTTTCTGTACTTGCAGGAATTGCTCCTCCATACCACAGACCAGAAAAAATCTAAGACACACTGAATTAAAGCTTCTAGCAGCCACACAAATCTCAGCCCAAGTGCCATGGGAACCATTTTGCGTTTGCATAAAGCCAACAGCCTCAGCCTCCCGCAATGATTCTGACAGCAGGGATATCAAACTGAGGCAGCTTATCAAGAGCCATACTGCCAATTCTGAAATTTCTTATTAGAAACACCAAGATGACATCAGGCTATCTTTCCCTGGGATAACTCATTTCAGTCAGAAGAATATTTTCACTAAACTCAGAACTGATTGTTTTTCCTCTGGTGAGGTCTAGAGTCTTTCATTAAATTTCACATCATCTATCAAAGTACAATTACAGCTCAATGGCTTTTTCATTCTTACTTCTTGTCCTATGTAAATCCCATTTGGACTGAAAAGCATCAAGCATGGAATGCAGAGCATTTTTCTTGTATGCAGATACTCCCAATAGTCTTAAAAGAACCAGTCAGTGTAAAAGTTTTTATTCTTGTTCAAAAGATGGCATTATCTGCAGAACTGCATTCCCATTTCATGCTTAGAATTCACTCAACTGAGATAAAAAAAGTAACATTTCCTGCAGCATTTAATTCTTCTCCCACACATTCTTGATGTTAAACTACCATGGAGTTTCTCGATACTTTAAATATAACACTGTTCTTCAGAACAATTCTTCTGCAAACGTAATGATAGACACAGCACGATTTATTTGGATTTTATGGTCTAGGACTATTTAACTATGCAAAAAAGAACATATATACTTGCATTAACTGGGACAACGGTTATGACCTTTATGCTTTATGGTCAGGAAAGCAGTCTGGGAAGATCAGTGGAAAAATTACGAAAGCACATTTTTGCGAGGCCATACAACTTCTGAAGCATAGGGTATTGCTCCCTGTCTGCATGAGAACATGAATTCACACATTCTCACAAGGATTGGGGTTACAGAACTTCATGTATTTGTGTAGCAAGTCCATTTTCTTGAAGCAACTTGAGGTACTCAGTTTGAAAAAGCAAGAGGATATGTTCCTCCTATCTAGCCAGTAGCTGCTTTCAAAATTTTTAAGATTCAAAATAGGTGGATTCAAGAAAGCAGCGTGCCTACTCACTGGTAATGTATGTTTGTAGCAGTTCTGAAGTCTCACCACCAGGTATTTGGGGCAATATTCTTTCATTCTGTGCCATGAACATGCTTGAAGTTAAAAGAAAACTCTGTCAAAAGTCTTTTCTTTATGAATTATTTTAATGAACCAAATATGAAGTGACATAAACACAGGTCAAAGAAAACAACATGAAATCAGCCCCACCAGCGGCTGACAGAAGGTAAAGATAGAAGAATAATATAGAATGATTTGAGGAAAAACAAGAAAGCAGAGTGAGAGATACTCTTTCGTGCCAAGAAGTCAACCAAATCATATAGTAGTTAAAATTTCATGTCAAGTGTTTAAATAAGGTCTCTGCTTTGTTTCTTAGCACAGTGAGTCCATAGAAGAGTAGGGAATGGGCTATCCCTAAATTCATGGCAACAGGTCCTATAGAGTGTATTCCAAATTTCTCCAAATAATGGAGATGGAGGTGGCTATAAAGAGAAATAGATAAAGTGAGGTCCCTTTGTTACCCAGCCTGGCCTCAGAAACGGAATGTGTTTTCTAGGTCCCAAAAATCTTTGGCATAGGTTCCTTTTTCAATGTCTGCGTGAATGCTTTAATCCCATGACTGTGAAGGTTGCAGCAGTCAGTTTCTCATACACCAGAAACATAAGAGCAGCAGTAAGGACTGTCTGCAGGAGCTTTGCTTCAAGGCCTTTGTAGAGTCCCATTAATCCGAAACGCCTAAGAAGGAAAAAAACAAACCAGGAAAACAAGCGTGAATAGCCTTCTATAAGTAAATTGGTACACTACAAAGCAGAATTAATATCACAAGTTAACGGCAACTGTAAGAATCTTAAATTCATTCTTGATCTCTTGATTGCCAGCTATGTTTAATAATATTTTAAAGAGAAAATTCTGCAGAAAGTTAAGGCTTTTGTGCAAGAAACTTGCTTCTTTTCAAGACAAGAGGTAAATTAATTAGTATCTGTAGATATCCTCGATACCGCTTACTGTACAGATATTTAGGAGAATTTGGTTTTGTGTACTTATTCTGCAATATGTTACAAAAACCAGGTTGACTCTGTTAAACTTGAGAGGCAAAAAGAAACGAATGTCATATCCAGCAACACTTTCAACATATTAGTAATACTCAAGCCTTCTTTATCACGTTAGAAAAAAAAAACCCACACAACACAGAAAGCTCACCTTACTCTCTGTTGAAGAAGGTAAAGAACATTTCTAAGACTGCCTAGTGTTCGGTTCTCTGGGTTCAACCTGTGGCGTCCAAACTGAAAAAAAAAAAAAGAGAGTCTTTTGTTGTACTATTTCCCACGGTGCTAGGCAGAGAACCCAACACACAGGTAAAATCTGGAGAGCCTATCTTAAATCTTTTAACATTTTCCAGGTTATACTAGCCATCAGTGAAGAACTGAGGCCAAAGCTCATGCTATTAAACTTTATGCAACAAGCATTAAAACAGTATGTGCTACGATAATTTGTTTTGGTTTTAAGATGGATTCTAAGAAAGTGTTACACATGGCCGTGTTTGCTCTCTTTTGGTTATTCTGGAGGAAACAGTTTTTCAAGATCTCAAAAGCATTATTTGCAGAGTCTTAGTAGGGATATGACATTCAAAGCAAGTTCTTTCTGGCTCGCTCAGCTTTCATTTAACAAAGATTCACAGCCTCATACGTCTGCAAAGCATTATTACCTTGAGATTGCATAGCTGAACCCAAAATTTAACTGCCCAGCAACAGTCTTGGAGCAAAATGTTTACATGTGTACTGCTGTGGAAGAATCCAAAATTGTTTGATCCACCTACCTGGCCTAAATAATACTTCTCTTTTACTCACTGTGTTCGCTTATCCCCAAACTGTTTTTCAGTAGGCATGATAGCTACTACTGTAATTTTACGTCTCAGACTTAAACTAGCAATTTCAGGAACTCCTTTTCTGGCATTCATTGATATTTTTATCCAATACAGGTCAACAGTACTGTCAGCAAGCTGTAAGTATGAACTGCTAATACACAAGGGTTACCACACCTGTATCTATAACAACATAGCCAAATAGGTTTTGAATCCTGCATTATGCTTCTATACTAAGAAAGTTGAACTTGAGCAACTGCCTGTGGATGAGTTTCTCCCAGAACTTACTCAGGCAACTGCTACTTCTTAGGTGTAAGAAATTACCATTGACAGTAGGCAAAGTACACAAGCAAATTTAGGCAGTTCAGAAATTGTAAGAAAATGCCAGGATGACCCAAATCCCTTTGCTATATGTCTTAAGAACTCAGATGGAAACAGCAGCAGCAGAACGCTATTGGAAATCTCTCTTTACTAGGCAAATATGTGCTCACAACCTACAATATTCTCATCAGCAACTAACTCATTTGATATTAATAAACCAATGTTAAGGATTACTGTCAAAGACACACCCCCAAAAGCTGCTGATTAGGTTCTAAGTTACAATGTCAGTCTCTGCCCAGATTACTCATACGTTTTCAAACTACACCAGGATCAGGTTCTTCCTTCTTCTCTACCATCAGACTATTCTTGTACTGCAAACAAAAGTCCATCAACGGAAAAAAAAAAAGTTAACTTCTCCCTAGGACATCAATACTTCACTGATTACTGCAGAAGATTTCCCAAAGGCACTAGCTTTCTCTACAGTAGAGAAGAAGAAGCTTGCATTTTAAAGTGAACTTTTTCACCCAGGATCACTAAGAACATGAACAGTACTGCTATTTCTTCAGTGGCAAATTTAATTTATCCACAGTTTACTGACAGATAGGCTACAGAAGCAGTTTCACTGCTTAACAAGTAACACCAGCACCATGTACTTTTTAATGACTGAAATGGAGATAGACATACCAAATGGCAAGGCTGGAACCTGCTTACCACTGACAATTACACAGGATAACCAGTCATTACATGGAAGCAAAAAGACTATTTTGCCAAGAAGTTGAAAGAAAAATTATAGAGACTTCATTACAAAGAATGCTAGTAACTTTCAAACAACAGTAAGTTTGTAAAAGTTTAAGGTTAAAAAGAAAAAAGTCTCGTACTTCTACTTTGATGACAGAACTTACCTATGATGTGTAAGTTTTAATGTAAGCTTGATATAATTCATAATCTTGTAAGTCTGCTAAAACTGTTTCAAAAAACCACAACTATACAAAGTATACTTCATCCAGAACGTTACTCCTGAAACTACTAAACCTTTATTAACTTTTTTTTTAACATCACTTAGTGTAAGTGACAAAAACTTCATCAAATATAACAGATTAGAAAACACATTATGAAATAGTGCAAGTTTGAATTGGACCACACAGGTACCACAGGTGCACATTTCTTCTGTTTTCACCAGAATTGTTCAGGGTTTCTGGCTATTACTTCTATCATAGAGCAAGGGGAAAGAAGTCACCCCTAGTAACTGCAGAAGTAGAGATGGGCTCCTTGTACTCCCCATGATCACAGGGAGAGGATGGACTGGCATGGAGAAGTAGCACATAGGCCACTTTATTCCACAGTAGGTCACTGTGAGAAAAATCCCACCGCCACCAGGACACTGATGGTTAGCTGTGCCAGCAGAAAGGCAACTCAAAGCTCAGGCGAGCTAGCAGTGAAGTAGCTGACTTCAGCTGAGGTGAGCAGTAAGCAGCAGCTGGTTAGTACATCGAGCTGGCAGCACAACTTAGCAGAGCTGCCCTTTTTTTAAAGAATGACATTGTCATCAAGAGACAGAAGAATTTTATTCAAGAAGTTAAAAGGAGACAGATGAAACGAAGTAGAAGATTGTACATGGTCACAAGACTGTAACCATTTCTACAGCAACCATGGAAAGGAGCAAGAGTTGAAGCTGTTACACTGATGCAGACCCATGAAAATTGCACTGCTGTGCAACGATAAAGTTAAAATCAAGCACTCCAACTTTCCTTTCAGTTTTCCTTCATACCAGCAGAAAATGCATCACAAATTAAAACCAGATTGATGTGGCAACTATCCAAACAAAGCTAAATTTGCTTCTATGTTTTTCTATCTGTCACTTCAGTAATAAAAGTCTGTGTTACCAGTTTAACTCCTGAGACGTGTCTAGGCTGTTAAAAAAGGGTAAGACATTGAATGGCGGCATCAGCTCAGCTGATGATCAGAAGTTAGAAAAACTTCAGCAAAAATTACTGCTGACAAAACTACAACATGGCTGACACATTTACAATGTGGGTGCCATTTTCTTCAGGGTGAAGAATAAAGCTGTGCAGGCACACAAGTTTTAACCTAGCATCTTTTCAGGTTAGCAGTAACCACACAGTAAATATATTCACGTCCTGTTGGTTTGAAATATAGCATCCAAACTATCTTTTTATAGGCTATCAAAAAATCAAAATCCATTTAGTCCACTCTAGTTAGAGAGAAGAGAAACTAATTACAAAAATTGCATGAAAAATCATTTTTTCCAGATGAAAAATTAACAAGAAAAATCCCCTATTAGACAAGTCTGAAGAGTGACATCCTTAGCATGAAAGGCTCACGTTCAAGAATTCAACTAATTCTTCAAATTTATACCTGCTTTATAACATATATAATGGCTCTACCATACACACAATTTAAAGCTTTTCCTTACTTAGAAAATAGCACTACGTTTCATGTGGAATATTTATTAATATTTAACTGTTACAAAAATCATCAAGAAAACTTAACAAAAATAGATTTTAAAAGCACAGATATTAAACTACAATATGCTGGCTTACATATGATCGGGTCTCTTCTCCACTCTCAACTTTGTCCTGTTTCAATATTACAGCAATATCGGTACATACCGAAGGTAGCAGCATTACCCAGTATACGTACAAATTGCAAGTGAGAATAAATGCAAATATTTCCATTACCACTACAATTAGCATACAAGGCCAGGCAAGTGGTTGAAGATATTATTTATGATGGACCTCAGCTTCCCTTGATGAATCATATTCTGTCTACTGACAAGGTCAGGCCACCATCTGAATAAAACAAAACCTATGAATAGAATTTTTTTTGGATTACCCTAGGTCATCTGGAAACGAACTGGGTTTAGAGGATTTGATTTTAACTTCTCACTTGACACATTTTCTATTTATATTCAAAGAATAAATCTACATTTTTGTAGTGCCTAAAAGCAGTATGGTGCAACAGCTTCTGTAAGACACTGTACCAACGCATTGTTGTCAATCCCACCAGCTACTTGACACAAATGTGCACCAGTAATACCAAGTTCTATCAGAACCTGATAGTACAGAATCAAGAGAGGCACCCTTATCAGTGACCTGCATTGTGCAAAAGCAGCTCCCAAAACAATGGGCTGATTAACACAAAGACAGACAAGCCATATTAACAAGGCTTTTATTATACAGAACAAGTCAGAGGCAGTTACCCTGAAACAAAATTATTACTTACCCGCAGAATTGACTGTACGGTCTGCAGAGGATAAGTGAGGGTGGTGGCAACTGCTTTGGCTATTGCACCAATGACAAAAGCATCCAAAGATGTGAGCTGTTCAACAGACAAAGAACATATTACTTCCACATAGTACCAAAGCAGCCAGTTACCTGTATGGGGATTCTATACTGGTACCTGCTACCAGGTTATCCAACTATCTATCTTTGGCATAAAGATTTCATGAAGTCTCTGGATCTTCTCATTTTAAAGAGTTAGTTATAGTTCAACCAACTGCCTTTCCCACAACTAAAGTTTATTTGTAATTTCTATCTGCTCACAAGCTTTAGCATTTCTCACTGTAACTAGGTTACTAAAAAGTAGTGGAGATAAAGCCATACAATTAGACCAATACTTAGAGTAGACAAAAGAAATGGGAAGTAGCATTTAAACGTACCATCAATCAATAAGCATTTCAGCTTTTGCAACATTCAAACTAACAAGTCACACGGCACTTGTGAAAATGTGACAATGAAAGACTCCTTGAACATCACTCTATAATCCTGAGACATAATCAGAATTTTAGTCTCAACGACAGAGGCTAAAAATCTCATCCCCTATTAGCTAAGAACACCTGCTGGAATCCCATCCTCACCTCCAAAGCCTGCAATGTTCCATGATGCACCAAATACATTGTTATAGCCTAAGCTGATTACAGTGCATCTCAGTCTAACAGTGCGAATTAATCACTGAAAATAAGCAGGTGCCCATATCAAAAAATGCTCTAAATTTGCAAAATGTTGGCTGCAATCAGAAATATGCACACACATGCACATCTTAATCAGATATACTTATGGCAATCAGGAAAAGATCAAATAGGAAGAAAAATATTGTCCAAAATAAAAATTATCATTTGTAGGGGGAAAAAGTATTTTTCCTCTCCATTCGTCATGGACAAAACATGTCCTAATTTAAGGTAGAAACAAGTAATTTAAAAGAAACAGAAGAAATAAATATAGCAACTAGCCAACAAGCAAATAACAATGCAGAGGGAAGCTCAGCTTATCACTCAGAAAACACATATTGTCCATAACATAACTGGATAGATCCATCAGGTACAACTACAGCTGCAGTATTGACTAACGACGGTAAAAAACCCAAGCCTCATTTATGATGCGAAAATCTCATGTAAAAGTAATTTCACTACATCTTGAGGAAAACAAGATGGCTTTGTAACATATTGATATTCTAACATTTTAGTACAGCCAAATGCATTCTCAAGTCACAAATAAACAGTAAAGCACTCCAGCTTAAACATATAATGTTATGACATTATCCTAAAACATAACACAAACTCTTTTCAATTTGCTAGAACATAAAAGCAACATGAGTCCAGGTGAGATGCTGTATCTGATACAGAGGAAAAAGAAAGAGTATAGAAAAAGATGGGGACTATAAAGCAGGGACAGAAAAGTGATTCTACCTCTACTGAGAGAATCGGGGAGGTATGATTGCAATGCTATGTTCACAGTTTGAGTGTCCATCCTTGGAGAAAGGATATTGAAAAGCAGAGCTTCAGGAAAAAAGTATTATTAATATGACAGGGTCCAGAACAAATCTGTGATACTTCAAGCTCAACATACTTGATTTACTGGAGAAAGGGTTAAGAGGTGACTTCAAAACAGTCCGTACGTACATACTTACATATTAGAATTGAAATCTCCACTTTAAATCAAGAAAACAACTCAATACAAACATGGACAAGAGGTGCAGTTTTATTTTTACAAAGAGGAATTCATCACCGCAATATCTTCTCTAGGGACATGAAAGATTCAAGTCTCACTTCGCAATGATGGATTTTTTTAGAAGATATACTAACTCAAAAAAACCCTCAAAAATACAAGAACCGAAAACAAACCTATGTTTCTGAATTTGCGCAAGTAATGTGTGCTAAAGAACCTGTCTTCAAAACATACTCACTTGCAGCTGTTTTTTCAAAAGCTTCCGTTTAAAGCCTTCATAAAACATGAACTGTATAGCAGGATTGAAGACCAGCAGCAAGGAGGGGAAAGTACCATTCCATAAAGCTAAGACTCCTTCATCTCGTATTATCTGATGAAAGGCATCTGAGAAGGCGGGAAAAAAAAATAAAATTTTGAGTACAAAATTCTGACTGTAGAAGACAAGAAAACTTACACTTAAAGCCTAATATTTTAAGTGTATAAAAATCCACTGCAGCCTTTTATGCGACTTTATCTTCCATTCTAATCTGGAAGTTAACAGAAACGTAGTGACAAACGAGGTTCTTGCTCACATCGCCATTAACCTAAACAAAGCTTATCATCTGCACAAACACCCTGATCTTTTTAGTAGAGGTTTGTACTAGGGTGTTTAGCTCAGCATCACTGTTAAGGTCTTCTATATATTGTTGTAGTTTTGAAGAAGGTTTATTTATTTACTTATTTTTGAAAGGAAAACAGCCTGAATGCATGGCTGATTAAGAGATTAAGGTGAGCGAAGTTTAATTTGCAGGCTGTCTGTCCAAACTCAGACTCCAAGATATGACTTCACTGGGCTGACTACTACTCCAGCATCTGTATGGTAGAACACCTGCCTTTGCAAAAGGTATTTTAGTTACAGGTGTGCATACTACAAACTCTTAATCTCCATCAGAAACAGCCAAGTACAGTTTCCTATAAAACTCAATGACTGCAAAGTGACAGGGCAGCACAGAGCTACTAAGGTGAATTTGGTTACATGAAGTCTTCAAACTTCAGAGTCCTTGACGTATTTCATTTAATGAACATGCATGCTTACCTATTATGCCTTTATAATTGGTTGGTACAATGTCTTCATTCCTAAATTTTGCTCCCTGCAGCTTCAGACGTGTGTTCACTACCCAAAGAGGAGTGGTCAAGAGCACATTGACTACACCTAACGCAAAACACAGCACAAAGAAAATCAGCAAGAACCAGAAGATGATTTCAAATGCTTTCTTATCGCCTTTTACCCTGATTCACACACTACTAAAACTACTGGTAGGAAGAGGGGAAAAAATTAGCACAGCATATGGCAAAAGCAAGCTGGTCATTTCTAATGAGCTTCTTCAGGTATCCCCCCACAGCCCCACCATGAATTAGTTGTCAGCAGATTGCAAGGAGAGGGACAACATTTCTGCTACTCCTCCCCAAAAACAAACCCTGCCTCCCCCAAACAAAACAAAACAAACAAACAAAAAAAAAACAATCAAATAAAAAAAAACAACCCACCCCAAACAACAAAGCACACCAAATACAAATGTGTTGAAAGAATCTTAGGTAAACTTGTTAGTTTGGTGCATACTACACCACATTGGAGCACAAGATACTCTACTTTTTCATGCCCTACTTCACTCCATGATGACTTGCTGCCTGCTTACTTTCAGAAAGAAACATGGTGATAAGGTTAGGAGGATTATTTTCTGAGGAGAGATCAAAACAGATAAATGCATGCAGCTTGATAATCAGAACAGAGGCCCTACACTGCCAAAAGAATATCTAGTTTCTAGAGTCATTAAGAACATTTAAGGTGGAAAACCAGGATTCTGCAAATATTTGAAGTGAGACTTTGAAGTGGCAGGAGATTATACACAATAACAAACCCCAACAGTAAAGTCTGAAAGTTGAGTATCAGAAAGCAGGATGGGGGAGGAGAATTGGACAAACACACATAAGGCTGCAACAAAGAGGTAATGCAAAGTACAGTTCTAAAGTAACAGGAAGAAGGATTAAGTGACATTACTTCTGGAATCATCTGTCCTTCCTGTTCAGTAAGGACTGAGGCAGTTACTTTGAAGTACTATTAAAAACAAGCTTCTGATCCTTCTTATTCATATTTCTGCATCACAGAAACTAGCAATCACTTTGACACTGGTGCTTTGGTAAGAGTCTAAGCAACAGACTGAATTATTCCGTTATACTGAGATGGACACAGTGTATCACTATCAAGAACAGCAAATGTGAAAAAGGTGAAACTTTACATTGTGCCTGTCTGTTCTTTTTCTTTCCCTTCAAGAGGGTTCAGAAAAGCTGGGTTTGGTTGGGATAGAGTTAATTTTCTTCATAGTAGCTAGTACGAGGCTATATTCTGGATTTGTGCTGAAAACAGTGTTGATAACAGAGACATTTTCATTATTACTGAGCAGTGCTTACACAGTGTCAAGGCTTTTTCTGCTTCTCACCCCACCAGCCAGTAGGTTGGGGGTACACAAGAAATTGGGAGGTGACACAGCTGGGACAGCTGACCCCAGCTGACCAAAGAGATATTCCATACCATATGACATCATGCTCAACATATAAAAAAAGTGGGGGAAAAACGAAGGAAGGGGATCATTCAGCATTATGGCATTTGTCTTCCCAAGTAACATTATGCACGATGAAGCCCGGCTTTCCTGGAGATGGTTGAACACCTGCCTGCCCATGGGAAGTGGTAAATGAATTCCTTGGGTTTGCTTTGCTTGTGTGCACAGATTTTTGCTTTACCTATTAAACTGTCTTTATCTCAACCCATGAGTTTTCTCACTTTTACTTTTCTGATTCTCTTCCCCATCCCACTGGGGAGGGAGTGAGCAAGCGGCTGTGGTGTGGCACTTAGTTGCCAGCTGAGGTTAAACCATGACAGTGACAGGACTGAATTATTCCATTATATTGAGATGGACACAGTATATCACTGTCAAGAACAGTAAATCTGAAAAAAGTGAAACTTCATTATCTACATTGTGCCTGTTTATTCTTTTTCTTTTCCTTTAAAAGAGTTCAGAAAAGCAGAATATAAATACAAAAATATTTCCGTATGCTTCATAAGGACTACAATCAGCTGTCAAAGTTTTAAGCAAAATCAAGCCCTAGAAAAGGCAAGCCACATTAATCTCTCTTAACCAAAGTCGAGGTTACATTATAAAGCAACAGGTTGGAGCACAGTATACTTGTAATTCTTCACCCAGACTCAGTTAAAGGAGATAAAGTTTTATTTTCCAGACCAGAAAGGTAATTTTTTTTAAAATATATTTTTCCAATCTGTATTTGCTACCAGTAGGAGGAATGAGAAATGTGGGAAGAAATAGTAAACACCTCAAGTGAAATTTTTCAAGTTTATACACTAGATATTATTCTATTACAAGGATATAAACTATGGATATTTAAGAAGTCATTTAACTGACAAGCTATTATCCTAATTCCTGTAGCTTTTATTCCAGAATGTAAACGTAAGAAATTTTCCCCCAGTGATAAAGCCAACTTAAGAATTTCCTTCCTTACTTTCCCCCACCTCTTTAGCCATTCATTGTGCCTACACACTGAAAACACAAGAAACTAGCAAAAAGTAAACGAACATCAGCACACCCCATCCTCAATAATCACAGGCCTTTTTTTTTTTTCCAGTTTTTTTTAAATTCAGCTTGTTTCAGTGTGGTTGCATGACCAATTGTTCCTGCAGAATAGTGCAGGCGAACACAGGCACAGTGTGTTAATTTTTCACATTGCATTTGCTAGAAAAGTCATTAATGTCATCATCCCTCTGAAGAAGCCACTGTAGCATCCACATGAGAGCAAGAGTCAGAATAGAATATAAATTTCCCACTGTACTTGCATATATATAGGCACTTACTGTCACTTTCAGATGACAACCCAAAAAGAAGTCTGAAAACTGGCACTCAAATCCTTACATAAAAAGCTCTTATCCTAATAGAAAAAATACTTCATAATTGACATATATCTTTCCTTCTGAAAAACAGTCTCATCTCTCCCTGCCACTTGTCTTCAACATCTAAAAGATGATGCTTAAATACCACAGTAAACAACACACCAGACACAAATAAAATACTAGATTGCAACAGCACTGTGCTGTGTGCCAGAATTCACAACAGACAGTTTATGCACCTATTTAGGAGGTGGGAATTAAACAGAGCTGTGCAATACAACAGGTCTGCATAAAGTGGGAGGCATAGGCACTCAGTATGACCTGCAGCGGACTTCATAAAGAACAACATTAGACAGAATATACTAAAAATACATTTTAGTATACAAAAATACATGATGAAATGGAGATTTTTTAAGTATTACCTGCAACAACCCCAAGAACCAAGTCTTTTCCAGTGGTTGAATGCTGACCTTTGACCCAGAGGGCTTTAAGACTATTAAATGTATAAAAATAAACAAAATTGGAGCAGCAAAGGCTGGAGATAACAGGGAACCATCCTCGATACGGTGCGAGCCTAATGGAGAGGAAAAAGTTATGGTAAGAGATCAGCAAAGTGTTAATGTGATCTGTTTGATTTTACACGTTGGTGGAGGGTCCCAGAGATACAATACTACATACAATACTAACTAGATACATCTTTATCATCAACAGTAACAAACCACAGTCAACTCCTGGCTGTACTATAAAAAAATTAAGCACATGTATTTATAAATTATAGTAATCAGGAATAACTCCACTGAAAAGAAGCTGTAGAGGCACAATATATTCACAGTGACAAGCTTGGGGCTCACTCTCTCTAACAGTATTACCACCGTATTTGATTTCTACCTACAGCCAGCAACGAACCACAAACATCCAAGGGATGAATATATGTTTGCAGTATGTATGTTAACATACAGACTAATACAGTCGGTTCAAACCATACACTAAAACATACCAAGGTATAAGGAGAATTCACATTTTTGTTGAGAAATGGAGTTGTTACTCCAATGCAAAAGATAACACCCCAGTAAAGAGATGCTCACATCTCCAAAGAAACAAAGCAATGCTTAACATAGCTAGAAAAAAATTAACTGGAAAAAAACATAGCTGGAAGAAAGACAACTACTCCTTCAATACAAAATAAAATAAAAAAATAAAGTAAGGAAGAAAAAAAAAAGTCTGGATTTCTGCATAAAATTTAAAGATGGAAGACTAGATACTGAAATTAATATACTTCACCAAGGAGGAGAATTTTCCAAAGGGTGCAATCTGGAGTATGACATTTGCAGATGGGAGGAATTTCTAATAAATGCCTTGCAATAAAGTCTCCAGGAAATCAGTCAGGTAAGTGAGAAAAAGACATTATCTATTTAAATTTAACTAAATTAATCACAGTTGGAAAACTGAATATTGCCTTATGATTCACAGCTATTGTATTTTTCAGGCATTGTGAAAAACTGTCATTGTTTGTGTATCATCTAAATCTACCTTTACTTAAGAACAATTTCATAACAGCTGACTAACAAAGCTTCCTTCTCTGACAGGCCTGATGAGCCTGTAAAACAGGGACACGTCAGAAACTGCCCCACATTCCCAGCATGTTCTACAATACATCCAAAAAAAAGATAACGATACACACCTTCACTGAAGCTGCACAGGACAGGTAAATAACTGGTATCATGTTAAGAGCACAGGAAATCTCCTCAACCACCACTGGTAATCACAGAGGCTCTTTAGTATTCACGAAAATATTGAGAATACACAGAACATAAGGCTCTCCAAGGAGGAGACTATAAAGGATGCAAGGCTGCTAAACCCAGCATCTGACTGTTCCTATGATGTAAATGCTAGTTTTTTGTCTCGGATGCATCAAGTGCTTCTCCATTCCATGTAGTTGGGGACACACCATGTTACGAGGACTGTTTCTGAAGTTACAGGCTTAGTTAATCATACAGTTACAACTGCAAATTAACTGACTATGGGTTTAACTCAGGAGTAGAAGTAAACCAATTTTTGCATAACTGACCTCTTCTGTACTGGAAAAGAAAGAGAGAAACACCCTCTGGGGACCATGTCCTCTAACTGAGTGTTAGTTTGGATTTGCTAAATTTATTAAGAACTTCTGACCATGATTTTCAAAGGAAACATCTTGCGGTACAAAACGTGATACTATGACAAAACCATGAGTTTATTTAAACGAGTTAGGTTATCAGTGCTAGCATCTGTAATGCACATACAAACACTCTGCACACATAACAGCCAAGTTTGTGTGCCAAACTGCAACCTTGAGAAGAACTCGGTGTACACAAGTGAACACCTTTCATATCACCTAGAAAAGGATGAAAGCTCAGGGAAGAAAGCAAAGCTGTTTGATAAACTTCTACAGAAAGTCCATTACCTAAACCTATTTGCTTTATGTTACATCTAGATGAGAAAAGCAGTCTCACGAAAGTCTACAGACTAATGTGAACAAGATGTTTATGATCTCGCATCACATATTTCCAATTTGTTGTGGGGTTTTATTGTGTGGGGTTTTTTATTCCAGATACATTTCTCAAACTAGTATCATTGCTTAGCCAGGTCTTACCAATAACTTTGGAAGAAGCAATGTTTACTTCTTGCCAGAATTACAGATTTTTCTGTTTCACTGGAAAAGTACGATGACCACTTATGCAGTCTCCCCATTCCAGTTAACCTCTTATTTTTTCTTTTTTACTTTTTCTTCGTTGTTTTTTTTTTTTTTTAAATCGAATTTTACTTCCCACCCTCAGGTGACAAACATAACATGAGAATGTGAAGAAAAGAGATCACCAATGGCCAGAGAAGTACTCGTGCATACAACTGTCAACTGCTCAAGTTGAAAGGTGGCAAAACATAATTGGCCAAGCTGAACTTTTGTTAGCTTTAATGTCTTGGAAGCCCTGGTCTACATAAGAGTTCACTTAGAAAAACACTTGTAACAAGGACACGCATACTGTTTTTCCCAGACTGTGTGGCAAATAAAGCACAGCACTGCTGGAAGTTATCTACTTTTAGATAAATCTTGAATCTCACCAGCAGAGAAAGTCACTTGTTTACTTTGACATGTCTAAGAAGAGAAAAAACTTCCAGCTGGGAAACATGTCCCAATTCTCCTGCTAAAAGTGGCTCAGCTGCCCAAGAGTTTCATCTTGGTTATGAGAATGGACACACCCAAGAATCCAGGCAGATGAAGCTGGTTTATCAGGTATATGAAGGTATGCTTGCGCACAAACTTGCACTTCTGAGGAGGCACAGCTACCTCCCTAATGGAGACACAGTTACACCACTGAACAGCTTGATTGCATAAGGTGCTGAAGAAAGTTAACCTAAATTAGCTAAAAATGCACAGACAAGATCATGTAAGTCATATCACACTTATATGAAAACGTTTTAGTTCAAAGTCAAAACCTGTTCACATGGGTTAACTATTCCACTTTAACAGCAAATTCAAATTAGTTCTAGAGCTTGCCTACATGAAGACAAGCAGAAAATTAGTATCTACTCACAGTCCTTCTTCTTTGATTATTTCCAATAGGACTGCCGGTGTTGTCTTAGACTTCCGCTTCTCATCAACTGGAAAACAGAAGAATCAAACTTTTAGATTACCCTGATTTTTACCACTCATTTTCAATTTCTTATCCTTCCTATTCTGAATATACCCCAGAAAAGCACATTTCTTCTTCATAAAGGATAGATATTCCCTACTTGTGCAGCAATTCCAGACAGCGTCTCCTTATTTTCATTTGCTAAGTTAAGGCTACTTCCTTTTTTCATTCTTGCCCAGACTAGCAGGTTCTGTTGGGCACCAGAGTATCTGCAGTTACCAGTTCCTAACCTGATAGTTGCAACATGAACTGAAAGTAGGTTCACCTTAGGTAAGAGGCTAGAACTGGGCCTGCCTAACTCCTACTCTCAAAATCACACCTTGGACTCCAGACTAGCACCACTAGCAGAGCAACCTCTTATAGTTAATCTGCAAACAGCTGAGCCTTAGCAAAACATTGTCTTTTCCCGCCTTGAAAGCTGCTCAATGGCAACACGGTGCTAATTTCTCCATCACATATTTCTGACAACCTGGCTGATGATCTCCCTCTAGTCCTTAATAATGCTTTAGTCAGTGCTAAAATGCTTGGTGATTCTGTGACTTTTGACTGGGAGACAGAGCATTAGAACATCAAAGTTTATACCCAAATTGTATTTTTGTAAATATCGGATGTTCCTACTCCCAGTTAACTCTGACTGTTCCCTTTACACCATTCTCAGGAATAACTCCAGACTAGTTTTTCATGATACTGACCCTGTATCACAGAGTCAAAACACATTTTGAAGCGTTCTCAGCAGCCAGAAGCAACAACACACAAATATAATCCTGTGTAATCTCACACCTTTATTTTTCTTTTTGGTCTTAGATAACCATTTAAAAGCCATGTCTGGCCACCTATCACAGTCTTTTCAGCTATTTAAAAGGTTCCCCAATATTTTCAAAAGGAGAATCACCTTCAGCTGGAAAAATGGTGTTAGTGATTAAATGGTGTTAGTGTTACACAAGTCAGATGACTGTTCATGCAAGGTAGATCTCTCCTACAACCACCCAAGCTAAGATGAACAGAAACACCATCATATAAAGAAACTAGAGTTTGACACTTACCCTGAAGTCTAAGCCTAGCTGTATCCAAAGGAAAAAATACAGTCATTGCAGTCATACTGCCCTGAAAAACAAAATAAACTGGCTATACAATATATCAGTTGCTTGTACATGTCTGACAGACTCTTTGCATCTCTTCACTTCTCACCCAGAAACCAGGCTACTCAGTAAGTTTAAAAAGGGATGAACTCCATACATAATGTCTATTTGAAGTGGTTTTTTGGTCCCATGCTTACAAGCAAGGTATTTTTCTCTTTTATTAGATTGAACTGAAATTAAAACGATTAGAAGCTTTTTGTCCAAAGAGAATGTTTTTGAAGTCTGAGAGCTGATAAAGTGCGCATCAGGAGACAAACATACTGCACTTTCTCCACCTTCCATTAGCCTTAGTACCCAATTTCTAGGTTTAAAAAAAAAAAACACAAAGACAACTACAACATAAGCAACCCTTGCGTTTCAGTAACACTGTTTTGACTTAATTAAAAATAAAACCAGAAACTTTCCTTCATTAAAAAGCAGATAGTACAAGTTTTTCAGCACTTAATCTAGCATTGTACTAAATTCCAATTTAGGCAATAAAGACCTGCCACCTCCTGTGGCATGAATTACATATGATCAATTAAATCATGACCTAGATGTCACCAGATTTGCTCCTTGTGAATCCAACACTCTTCACTTCCTGTGATCCAACCATTAAAGCCTCTAAATTGAAAAGCCAGCATCCACTCTCCTTTACAACAGGGTTCAATACTGTATTTGCAAATGCCCTGATCTTCCACACAAGCAGCTGCTCCCTCTCTCTCCGCCACCATTCAGCTTCTTCATTCTTCAGTCGTCTGGCATTAATATTACACAGCTTTTGGAAAAGATGTCTAACTCAAAAAGACCCTGGCTTCACGTAAAGCTGTGAACACCACTGTACAGCAGTGTCACACGCATTAAGTGGCTGCTAGAGCTGTGGCACTCTTTCGTTAGTGGCCGTGCAAACTGTTCAAATGGTGGGAAGGTCTGGGGTGCAGTCAAGTCACACACGCACTGTGTTTAAAGCACACTGCACAGTCCGACTCAAACTTTTCTAGAGCTATGTTATGCCATACATTTAAGCGAGCTCTGCCTCTGGAAACACTCCAGCTCCGGAGCAGGCTGCTTGGACCTATCTCTACGACCAGCAACAGAGGATTATTTTTCAGGCAGTGTTTGCTCACTAGGACAACTCTTCGTTGAAATCTTAACAAGACTCCAGTTTCTCCACTTTTCATAGCACCAGGTAGCAGATGAAAGGAAATACTTGGCCATAATTACCTGGTTATTTTAACCCATTTAGTTTGGGCTCTAGCCAAAAGGGTTGGTTCTGCTCTCCCACAGACTTGTCCTGTGCTTGCTCATTCTAGGTACCTACTGCATACACTGCTGGACACAAAGTAGGATTAATGAACCCAACTGACTAAAAATTTACAAAAAAATCAATTTCAGTTAGAAGGCTAGTGCCAGCACAAAAAGAAGTTGCCAGAAAGAGCCAAAATATACCTCCTAACGACAGCTGCATTACAGCAACTCTGAAGCCAACCTCAAAACGCAGTCACACACCTACACACAAAGCAGGACGGTCACTACAAGTTCCAGCCTTCCACTGCTCAATTTATCCTGCTTTCATCCTCCCCAAGCGAGATCTATCCTGAATCCTACTCTCAATGCAATCCACCGTACAGCAACACAAACATTGGCACTCGAAACAAGAAAATGGAAATAGGGAAATAGCAGGGGAAGTAGCACACAGGACAAAGGGGTGGACAAAAGGCACAGAACAGAATATTTCAGTTGGACCTACAACCATCATCTAGTCCAGCTGCCTGACCAAAAGTTAAAGCATATTAAGGGCACCATCCAAACAGCTCTTAAGCATCAATAGGCTTGGGGCATCAGCCACCTCTCTAGGAAGTCTGTTCCAGTGTCTGACCACCCACCCTCTCAGTAAAGAAATGCTTCCTAAGGTCCAGACTAAACCTCCTCTGGCGCAGCTTTGAACCATTCCCATGCGATGAGCCTTACAGGCTTCTTAAAACTGGCTTAAAGCATATATGAAGCTATAGCTCAACATAATGTCATGAGAGAACTCAGATGATGTAGCAGATTACTGCCAATAAAAGGTAATTTGTACCTCTCCCTCCTTTTGCTAAATTGAATAAATTTAATAATTTAAAATTAAATAAACTCAGAAAAGCAGTTACTTTTCTCCTGAGTTTATAAATGAAACCACTCAAATACATGGCGAGGAGACTACCAGAAGCATCATATGGAGGAAACAAGATTTCATGGCTAGAAGTAAAGGAAAGGAGAGGGATGAGCAGGACCAGTCCTTTCCTCAGCAATAACAATTCTTGAGATGGGCTCAGATTCCTTACTGAACAGCACTTCAGACCAGCAGGGAAAGTAACCCATATTACTGACTGCAGGAACATACACTGAAACATATGACCCTGTACCATCCAAAGGGTGAGGCTTTCCCACCACCTCCCTGTTGGTGCGGAATCCCGGCAGTTTGCCAAGTCAAGTCGTGCGATAGCTGAACGATCACTAGGACAGGTACAAACTGGCTTAAACAATCCCAGCTCTTGATCAACTATATTTGCATCTCCGCCTCCTCCATTCAGGTGGCATAACTTCTTGGGCACCTACATAATGATGCAGACAAGGAAACTTATCTGGCTGAAAAATAACTTTTTCCACTGGGCTACTTCTTCAGTCAGATCAGTTGCCTGATCAGCCACAGCACCACAGAAACAACTGTGCAGTAGCCAAGAGGTGGCAGTAAGTGGCCAGAACAAATGGCCTCAGGTGCCTCTGCTGTCAAGAAGAGGCATGCAGGACCACAGCCTAAAGTTTGGTTTTCTAAACAATAATTATAATAAATTTAAAAATTATGTTGTCAGTCAACATTCAGAGTCAAACAAACCAGCCTGACTGCTGCCTATACTCCCATAAAATTCTCATTCCTACATTTGTAGCTTTTGTAACAGGAAGGTTACTTTATAGCTATATGCAGAGTCAAATAATACTTACGCAATTCAATTAAAGTTCAAAGGAAATCAAGCACTGATTTTTTTTTTTTGCTGGTCACAAAACTATTAATTTGTCTTAGATATGACTAGGCAGCCTAGAAGATATATGAACTTTCACCATATCAGAACAGAGACAAAAATTATCATGTTGCGATCAGACATGTTCGTCTGACTCATCATCTCAGCACAGTTCTGGTTTCTTGCTATTTCTTTTCTTTTTTTTTTTTTTAAATTCTTGCATCACATCCACACATCAGGATGCTTTATAATAATTTAAACACATGGTGAGACAATATCAGGACAGTTAGTACCCATGTCAAACATTTTGCCAAAATTTATATATCGTAGCAGCAAACAAATCTTTAAATCAATGAGCACATCTTTACTACAACAAAAACCCATAAGGTTTCCAGCATAAGGTAGTAAAAGAAGAAAAAAGCCACTTCATTTTAAGAAAGAATTCTTGCTCCAGAGCTTTAAATTGTATATGAATATTTGTGACACCAAGTGGAAGTCACAAAGGTAGAGAAGTCCAATAGCTCCAAAAAGTTGTCTTCCATCACAGCAACATCACTGCAGTAGAGATATAAGCACTTTAAATACAAAAGAGAATTTCTATTAACTTAATTAACATCACCAAGGGATTTAAGATACCATTTTACCAGGCATTTTAAGTTTATGGCTGGGTTTTTAAGTTTGGTTCATACCACAAACTTTGTTCAGGAGCACAGCCTGATCATAGCAATGTGTATACAAAAGCAAGAAGGTAACAGTGAGGGCTAGACAGCATTACCAACTTCTGTACAAGTCAGCAAAAGGACAGTGAGCAGTATTTCAATAATGAGATCATCTGAGAGAGTTCCATTTCTTGAAAGTGGAAACAAAATCCTCATTGCCTTTGATGCTTAAATAAGCAGACTTAGAACACTTTAAGGAGCAGACAATAATCCCATGTTTATTTACGACAAAGACAAAACAACCTTTAGAGTCTTTTTTTGCTTTCTATGGTGGGCCAATTTAGAATTAGCCTTTATTGTCAATAACATTTAGTAACTTTAATCCTCTACAAGACACTGTGAGTTATTTTAAGGACTCAAATTAGAACAGGAAGTTTTTCCAGAACAGTCAATCAGCAATTGCTAAAATGCACATTTAGGCGTTCTTGCCAGTCTGGAATAACCAAAGAGTAAAGCTGCATCACTTTGCTTGAAATCCATCAATACATCTGGTCCAACATGCTACATTGTGCTGAAATTCTTTATCTGTTGGAAATACAAAACTTATTTGCTATTTACAGAGCTAGTACTCATTCATTCAAGGGCAAGGCATACCAGTAAATCTGCAGAAACTAAACGCTAGTTTTTAAATTTACAAGTGTCATATGAAAAAAGTAATTCATTAACCCATACAAACCTCCTCCAGCTGCACTGCACTTGCTTCACGTTTTGACTAACACCTAGAAGGGCACTGCCTCGCCCTTCACAATTTTCTAAAGTATTTATGAGACAATTGCAGAATGTGGATGCTTAGTACAATTCTTCTACACAGCTGAAGTGTTGTTCCTCTACCATAACTTCCGTAATACTTAAATTTTCATAGGTACGTCGATGCCCAACTTCAGATGCTTACACGCTCACTTACTAAGGGAGCACACCTGCAGCTCCCATTGGGCTCCCGAAAAGCTGCAGCTGCTCAGGAGAGCCAGCCTAGAAGGTTACCAAATCCCACATCCAGAACTAGTGACAAGCAAAACCAGGGCTTCGCAGGCGCGCTCGCACGGGACGGGTGGCGGA